AAAAAAGACCATACGATCATCTCAACAGATGCAGAAAAAGCATTCAATAAAATCCAGCAACCTTCATGATCAAAACCCTCAATGAACTAGGCATAGAAGGAATATGTCTCAAAATAATAAAAGCCACATATGACAAACCCACAGCCAACTTAATACTGCATAGGAAAAAGTTGAAAACATTCCCCTAAGAACCGGAACAAGGAAAGGAAGCTCACTACTTCTATTCAACATAGTACTGGAAGTCCTAGCCAGAGTAATCAGGCAAAAGAAGGAAAGAAAGGGCATCCAAATCAGGAAGAGGAGGTCAAAGTATCCCTGTTTGCCAAAGATATGGTCTCATATTATAAAACCCTAAAGACTCCACCAAAATACTCCTAAAATTGATAAATAAATTCAGTAAAGTCTCAGGTTACAAAATCAATGTACCCAAATCAATAGCATTTCTTATACATTAATAACAGTCAATCTGAGAGTCAAATCAAGAATTTAGTACCATTTACAATAGCTGCATGAAAATAAAATACCTAGGAATATACTTAACCAAGGAGTTGAAAGACCTCTAGAAGGAGAACTACACATCACTGATGAAAGAAATCATAGGTAACATGAACAAATGGAAAAACATCCCATGCTCATGAATTGGAAAAATCAACATTGTTAAAATGTCCATACTTCCTAAAGTGATTTACCTATTCAATGCAATTCCCATCAAAACTCCAATGTCATTTTTCATGGACCTAGAAAAAAAAATTCCTAAACTTCATATGGAATCAAAAAAGACCCCAAATAGCCAAAACAATACTAAGCAAAAAGAACAAATCTGTAAGCATCACATTACCTGACTTCAAATTATACTACAAGGCTATAGTACCCAAAACAGCAGGTACTGTATAAAGCTAGACACATAAGCCAATGGATCAGAATAGAGAACCCAGAAATAAAACCATATAGCTATGACCAACTGGTTTTTGACAAAGCAGACAAAAATATACTCTAGTGAAAAGATGCCCTATTCAATAAATAGGGAAAACTAGGTAGCCACATGCAGAAGTTCATTGATAGATGAATAGATAAAGAAAATGTAATATATACACACCATGGACTATTATTCAGCCATAAAAAGAAGGAAATCCTGGCCGGACTTGGTGGCTCATGCCTGTAATCCTAGCATTTTGGGAGGCTGAGCGGGGAGGATCGCTTGAGATCAGGAGTTTGAGGCCAGCCTGAGCAAGAGCAAGACTGTGTATCTACAAAAAATAGAAAAATCAGCCCAGCACACACCTGTAGTCCCAGGTACTCGGGAGGCTGAGACAGAAGGATCTCTTGAGCCCAGGAGTTTAAGGTTGCAGCGAGCTATGATGAGGCCACTGCACTCTACCTGGGGCAACAGACTGAGACTTTGTCTCAAAAAAAAAGGAAGAGCTAGAAGAGCTGAAAGTGGTTATCTCTGGGTATCAAGAATCAGGGTAAATGGGAATGATATAGGAGATTCCCCTGGTTTTACACTTTACATTTTATACTATGTATTTATATTATTTTGATACTACTTAAAATTGAATTTCATATTATTAAAAAGTAGAAAATAAATAACTAAAGAGTAGTCATAACTGCTTCCTGGTTTATTTTCCTTTAAGGAAGTATTTGCACCTTTGTCAAGCTCAGTGGAAGGTGCAGGAGGGGCCTGGAGGATCAGGTTTCCTGAGTCTGAGGAATGAAATTTTTCAGTGTCTCACAATTTCTAATAAGGGCATTGATTCAGTTTTTGTTGTTCAGCCAGGCACACTATGTCAGAACAAATATTTTTGTGACTTAACCTGCCACTGACAGAAAGATAATACACACACACACACACACACACACACACACACATACATACACACACACACAGTCTCACCTGTTGATTAATGAGCAGAATGTGTTCATACATGATGAATAAATGAGGAATAAAATTGTGTTAACATACATAGTCTGTCATAAGGTGACTGTGTCCTATGCTGCTGTGTAGTACCAACTGAATGCCAAAAAATGAACATGACATCTCTGGAGTGACATACAAAACACACACACTTCATCTCCTCCCTCTCACCTCAGTTTACCTATAAGCATTGCTGTGCACAAGTGTGTACTGTGCTGTTCTCCTGAGTTGTGTTCTCTCCTTGATAGAATTCCTGGAAACAGGAATTCAAGATAATGATTTTTTAAAGTAATACCTTAAATATTGAGGAGAAGTTTGAAATAACAGCATCTTTTGAAGGAAATGAACACATGTGCTATCACTAGAACAATGAGCCAGACATTGCACAGCATCAGAGATGAGAATGCCGGTGACCTTAATCCATCAGTTATTGCCAGCTTCAAGGAAGAGTGGTAAACAGGTTCAGTGGATTAAAGGTCAAGATTTTAATGTCAAGAGCATCAGGACAGAACTTTGCGGTTACACAGTTTCATTTAGAGTTATACAGCTTCCTTATCAAAGGAGGGAACTGGCAAAGCAACAAAAGCGGATTTCTATTTTAAACTAGTATAGAAGTAAAAGAGGTCAATGACTGCTGGCATAACAATGTTGAGTCCTACAAATGATGATGTCTTTCATTTCACCTTTTGTCCATACCTCAAAAACCCTGTATTTTACCACACCCGCTCCCACCAAGCAAACTCTCCATGTTTTGTCAAAGTGAAGTGCTACATTTACTATGGAATTTCTTTATTCAGAACTAAAGATATTTAAAACCATAGTGTTTTCATTGGGTGTGGGTTTTGTTTGTTTGATGTATTACTTATGAGAATGCACAAGTTTTGAATCTACTACTTCAACCCTATTTTTCCCATAATCCCTACTATTTTTAGTGGATGAAATTCTATAACCTAATGATTTTGGGGGACATATATTCCATGTTTAGGAAAAATATATCTTTGCCTCCATTCCTTGTCTGTTTTTAGCTAGGCCATCTTAGTTCAAGGCTTTCCACTCATTGAAGCACATTAATAAATGATGCCCCAAAAATTGTGAACATAGAAATCTGATTAATATAAATCACAAAATAACATATTGAAGAGAAAAATTCATATATTTACCTTAATTGATACAGAAAAGGAATTTGATAAAATTTAACATCTTTCATGAGAAAAATTCTTAGCTAACTAGAAATAAGAGAACTTTCTTAACCTGATTTAGCAGGACATGGAATAAATTCCACAAGGTCACACAGCACAGGCTAAGGAATAGGCTTTATTGGGGGAAACCAGGGGGTTTAAGGATCAGCATCCCTAGGCATTGGGTACCTCAGTACTCCCATCAGCCCACATTGAGGTGTTCTGAGGCCATGTACAGCTCATAGTCACATGGTCATGCAGGACAACAGAGTTTCTTAACCTCTGTACTATCGACACTTGGAGACAGATAATTCCTTGTTGTGGGGAGCTGTCCTGTGCATTGTTGGATATTTATCAGTGTCCCCAGCCTCTAGACTCTGGATGTCAGAAGCACATCTGCCCTGATTATGACAACCAGAAATGTCTCTAGACATTGTCAAAGTCCTCTGGGAACAAAATAACCACTTTTTGAGAATTACTGCAAAACAGGAGCATTGTGCCCCTACTATTCTACCGTCTTATAATATGAACATGAGAAGCTCCTTGTGGGACTTGCCTTCCAGACGGTCTGGATTCAAGATGTCGGTTGTTCACAGGAGAGGCAATTCTTCAACACCTACAGACTTTGGGCCCATGGGAATTATAAGCTCCTCCTGGCCAGGGGAGGAAACTACTAATAACGTGTCCCATGGAAATGTTAGTTCATGTCCTCGGATTCTCAATAGGAAAAGCATAGGAACTAAGTTCCACGTAGTTTTTGCCCAGGCAACCAGGGGAGCTCCTAGAATCACTTTTGAGTAACTCTGAGTAACTCACACTATACTAATGAGGACATATACCAGAAACTTTCAGAAAACATCATACTCAATAGTAAAAGAATGAAGGTGTTCCCTGAAAGATCAGGAACACTAACTACCACCATGTTTATTCAGCAATGTACTGGAGGTCCAATGCAGTAAGACAAGAGAAAGAAATATTAATAAAAGAAATATGCATTAAAAGGGAAGAAGAGAAAGGCCAATTTTTGCAAATGATACAAATGGTCTAATAGAAACACAAAAGAATCTGCAGATATAGTTCGACAATTTTTCAAGATTAGGTGACACAAAAATCAATATATGAAGTCAACTGCATTGCTATACATTAAAAACATTAGCTAGAAAAATGTAATATAGAAGCAATAAAATATAAAATATCTAGTAATAAAGGCAACTTATGGAATGGGAAAAATATTTGCAAGCTATATATCAGATAAGGGGTTAATTTCCAAAATATATAAAGAACTACAATTTAAGAGCAAAAATATGTATATGATAACTCAATTAAAAATGGACAAAAGGACTTGAATAGACATTTCTTCAACGAAAACATACAAATGGCCAATAGGTATATGAAAAGATGCGCCATGTCTCTAATCACCAGGGAAATGCAAATCAAAACCACAATGAGATATCACCTCATACCTGTTAAGATGGCTATTATTTAAAAACAAAACAAAACAAAAAAAAAACACTGCCAGACTGTGTGAACTTAAGTAATTTATTTTCCTTCCTGTGCCTCTTTTTCTTCTTCTGTAAGACAGTTTGGTCCTGACAGCCCCTGATGGTCAATCGGGTATTCTCCTCATGTGAAGAAAGAGGGCCAGCTTTCAGATGTCTGTATTGCAGCCAGGAGACCTTGGGGAGAGCCCCAAGCTCCTGCCTGGAAAAGTGAACACTTCCTGATACAGCTCCGAGATTGTAGCCCTCCCTTGCCATTGGTCAACCTCCAGCCCCGCCCACTGGTATGGGGAGTGCAGCCCTCCCTTGCCATTGGTCAACCTGAAGCCCCGCCCACTGGCACATGCAGCCTGGACAATACAAAAGCAAGCTCAGCCTCAGCTTCCAGCTAAGCACCTTGCCGGCAACATGAGGTCCAGCACCTTCTTGGTCCTTGCAGTGTTCCTGGTTTTTGCGACCCTGGCGCCCGGGGAAGCAGTCAAAGGGGGTGAATGGATACGGTGGACCTGGGTGGGACTGGGCTAGGGAGAGACGCTGAGGGGCTGTCTGGGACTGTAAGCAGTGCTGGAGCCCTCACCTCAACCTGTGGCTTCCTCCACCAGGTAAAGAGAAGTGGGGAAGTTGCCCAACCGAGAAAGGAAGCTGCATCAAGTCTGGTCCGTCCCAGTGTCATGCCGATAACGACTGTCCTGGGGAAAAGAAGTGCTGCTTCCTGCACTGTAGCTTCAAATGTGTGAGTCCTGAGAGGATCAGAAAGGAAGGTAAGGAGCCCCTGCATACCAGGCCTGGTGCTCTCATTTCCCCTGCCTCTACCCGGCCCATGAAAGCACCGAGGAATTAGTGCTTTTAGCTGGTGTGGGGAGGGGTGGTTAGAGTTGGCAGGGCCCTAAGAGATCAACAAATCTGAACATCTCCATTGCACAAAGGAGGAAATGAGCATGAAGATGTGTCAAGGTCATCCACAGAGCCTGGATGGGAGCCCAGGCCTCCAGGCTCGTCCCCCTCCACAAGTATCCCCAGTTATTAAGTTGTGTCCTTTCCACCTCCAGGAATTGCTCAATTGGCACCTGTCCCTCAGGGTGCTGAAGGTTGGAATGTGGGACAAGAAGCAAGCCCCCAGAAGGAATGGTCCTGAAATCCTTTTCCCCAAAGAGAGGGAAGAGTCTCGAAGAGTCCAGACCCCAGTGGCTAGCTTTTCCTTCTCTGCGCAATGCTCATTCCCCACCTGCATGAATGGACCCCGCCCCACGCCATGAATGAGATCAGTGCCTTTATAAAAGAGACCCCAGAGAGCTGTCTTGCTCTTCTGCCATGTGCAGACACAGCTGGATGACTCTGTCAGAGCCCAGAAATGAGCCCTCACTAGATGCCAAATTTGCTGGCACCTTGATCTTGTACTTCCCAGCCTCCAGAGCTGTGAGAAATAAATGTCTGTTGTGTATAAGCCAGCCAGTCTGTTGTAATTTGTTATAGCAACCCAAATTGACTAAGACAACCTAATTGTTAAAAAAGAAATTCTGCAACATTATCAAAATAAATGAAATATAAAATACCTACAAATAAACATACCTAGAAATGTACGGAAATTTTCTGAAAAAATCTACAAAACTACTAAATGACATTTTAAAAACTATGGATAAACAAGCTAAAATTTTCCACAATAAAAAAGAATTTTAAAAGATATGCTCCTCCCCAGATAGGAAGTCTCCACAAGATGTCCATCTTGGCCAGCATAATTTATACCTGAAATACAATTAAAATCAAAACTCATTGGGTTTTGCAATCCCTAATTAAATAATTGATTCAGACAATAATCATTCATTTATGGGATGCCGTATCCTCACCTATATGTGGAAAAACACAAGTTTACAAAAAACTGTCTTCACAACATGAAAAATGGGTAGGCTAGACCTCCATTTCTCCTGCTGTGATGCAGTGTGAGGCACACAGCATCATTCATGAAAGGTTCTTGCCAAGACAGTTGAGCATGAACCTCACCAAGCCCCTACAGCTAATCTGCATCTATGGGAAATATGAAAGACAAAGAAGATGAAAGAGATCACAGGGAAGTAACATGGGACATTCTAAAGAACAATTCATCTGTTTTGTTCAACAAGTAAGTAGCATGAAGGAGAAGGAGGGAGAAAAGGAGGACAATATGGAGTTGGAGGGATTGATCTAGATTAAAAGACACTTCAGAGACACTACAACAAACGCAATGTGTGCACATTATTTGGATTCTGATTCAAACAACTATACAGTCGTTTTTGAGACAATAAGAAAAACAATGCAAATAGAATAGTGCCCATGAACTGATGAGTGGTGAGTACTACTCAGCCATAAAAAGGGATGAAATAATGTCTTTTGCAGCAACTTGGATGGAACTGGAGGCCATTATCCTAAGTGAAGTATCTCAGGAATAGAAAAACAAACACCACATGTTCTCATTATAAGTGGGAGCTAAACAAGGGACATATATGGTCATAAAGAGCTGTAATGTATACTGAAAACTAAGGAGGGGTAGGGTAGGAGGGGCTGAGGGATAAAAATCTACCTACTGAGTACAATGTACACTATTCTGGTGACGGGAACACTGAAAGAATCCACAATCCATCCATGTAACAAAAAACACTTGTAACCCCTAAATTGTTTGAAACAAGAAAAAGAAAGAAATTACTGTTAATTTTGTTAGATGTGACAATGGTTTTGTGATTATGTGAGAAAATGTTTTTAATTTTCAGAAATGCATACTGAAGTATTCAAGGGTAAAATATAAGATGTGTTGGATTTGCTTTAAAATACTTTATCCAAATAAGGGGTGGGGTTATACATGAAGGAAATGTAAAATGTTCATTGTTGAATCTGGATGATAGGTATACAAGGCTTCATAAACACATTTACTGTTCTCTTGTGTATTTTTTGGAAAACATTTTTATGATAAAAACACTGGATTTATTTTTGTAACTTAACAAATGATCATTAAGTTCATATGAAAGAATGAAATACTTGTAACATGGAAAATTGAAAACATAAACTGATGAAGCACAATAGATACCACCAGTCACTAAAACACATCGTAAAGCTACAACAATTACATCATTGCAAGCGTACCCCAGTTCATTGTACTTCACTTCATTGCGATTCACAGTTACTATGTTTTTTGCAAATTGAAGGTTTGTGACAACCCTGCATCGACCAAGTCTATTGGCACCATTTTTCCAATAGCATGTGCTCCCTTCATACCTCTGTGTCACATTTTGGTAATTCTCACAATATTTCAAACTTTTTCATTATTATTATATCCGTTATGGTGATCTGTGCTCAGATCTTTGATGTTACTATTGTAATTGTTTTTGGAACTAGCCAGCCTTTCCCCCATCTCTCTCCCTCTCCTATGGCCTCCTTATTTCCCAAAAGACAACAATATTGTAGTTAAGTCAATTAATAACCCAATAATGGCTTTTAAGTGTTCAAGTAAAAGGAAGAGTTTTCTCACTTGAAATCAAAAAAGCTAGAAATGATTAAGCTTAGTAAGGAAGGCAGGCACGTGGAAAGCTGAGATAGGCTGAAAGCTGGGCCTCCTGTGCCAAACAGTTAGCCAAGTTGTAAATGCAAAGGAAAAGTTCTTGAAGGAAATTAAAAATGCTACTCCAGTGAGCACACCAATGATATGAGAGCAAAACAGCCTTCCTGCCGATTCAGAGAAAGTTTGAGTGGTCTGGATGGAAGATCCAACCAGCCACGACATTCCTTTAAGTCAAAGCCCAATCCAGAGCAGGGCCCTAACTCTCTTCAATTCTATTAAGGCTGAGAGAGGTGAGGAAGCTTCAGAAGAAAAGTTTGAAGTTAGAAGAGGTTGACTTATGAGGTTTAAGGAAAGAGGCCATCTCCATAACACAAAAGTGCAAGGTGAAGCAGCAAGTGCTGAGGTAGAAGCTGCAGCAAGTTATCCAGAAGATCTAGCTAAGATCATTGATGAAGGTGGCTACACTAACAACAGATTTTCGATGTAGATGAAACAGCCCTATACTGGAAGAAGATGCCATCTAGGGCTTTCATAGCTAGAGAGAAGTCAATGCTTGGCTTCAAGGCCTCAGAGGACAAGCTGACTCTCTTATTAGGGGCTAATGCATCTGGTAACTTTAGGTTGAAGCCATGTTCATTTACCATTCCAAAAATCCTGGGGCCCTTAGGAATTATGCTAAATCTACTCTGCCTGTGCTTTATAAATGGAACAACAAAGCCTGGATGATAACATATCTGTTTACAGCATAGTTTACTGAATATTCTAAGCCCATTGTTGAGACTTACTTCTCATAAAAAGAAAAAGATTCCTTTCAAAATATTACTGCTTATTGACAACGCACCTGGTCACCCAAGAAGTCTAATGGAGAGGTACAAGGAGATTAATGTTGTTTTCATTCCTGCTGACACAACAACTATTCTGTAGCCCATGAATCAAAGAGTAGCTTCAACTTTCAAGACTTATTATTTAAAAAATACATTTTTAAAGGTTATAGCTGCCATAGATAGTGATTGCTCTGATAGATCTGGGCAGTGTAAGTTAAAAACCTTCTGGAAAGAATTCACTGTTCTAGCTGCCATTAAGAATGTTTATGATTCATGGGAGGAAGTCAAAATATCAACATGAACAGGAGTTTAGAAGAAATTGACTCCAATCCTCATGGATGACTTTAAGGGGTTCAAGACTTCAGTGGAGGAAGTCACTGCAGATGTGGTGGAAATAGCAAGAGAACTAGCATTAGAAATGGAGCCTGAATTTGGGACTAAATTTCTGCAATCTCATGATAAAACTTGAATGGATGAGGCGTTGCTTCTTATGGATGAGCAATGAAAATGGTTCCTTGAGGTGGAATCCACTCCTAGTGAAAATGTTATGAACATAGTTGAAATGAGAACAAAGGATTTAGAATATCACATAAACTTAGTTGATAAAGCAGCAGCAGGGCTTGAGAGGATTGACTCCAATTTTGAAAAAGTTCTACTGTGGTGAAATGTTATCAAACCACATTGCACGTGACAGAGAAGTCTTTCATGAAAGGAGAGTGTATGGATGTGCCAAACTTCATTGTTATCTTATTTTAAGGAATTACCACAGCCACCCCAACCTTTAGCAACCACCACCCTGATCAGTTAGCAGCCGCCAACATCAAGGCAAGACCTTCCCCCAGCAAAAAGATTATGACTGCTGGAGGCTTAGATGATCATTAGCATTTTTAAGCAATGAATTATTTTTAATTATGATATATACATTGTTTTCCTAGATATAATGCTATTGCACATGGTAAAAAGAAATTTGAGGATGAAAAATGCTATTGCACACTTAATAGACTACAGTATATTGTAAACATAGCTTGTATGTGCACTGAGAAACCAAAAAATTTGTATGACTCACTTTATTGTGATACTCTGTTTACAGCAAAAACCAAGCCTGCAACATCTCCAAGGCATGCCTGTGCTGGCACAAGAAGAAATAAGCAAAGGAAAAGAACAGAAAACCCAGAAACAGCTCCTGTTACATATAGGACTCGAGCTTTTTTTATGAAGTTCAATTTTTAATCAATGGCAAAAGTTTGAGTTATTCACTAAATGGTAACGGGACAATTGCTTAATAACTTACAAAGTATTTCCTGTCTCCTACCCCATGCTGAGATAAATTTCAGATAGATGAAAGAATTGACATGTCTTTCAAAAATCACAAAGTAGTCACAAGTAAATATAGTGAATATTTATCTAACATCAGAGTCAAGAGCTTTTTTTTCAGCATAAAAATAAAGGAAGAAAATATAAATGCAAAGAATGAATTGACTACTCCAAAATTTAAAACTTTGGCTCAAAGAAAAAACAAGGAAACAAATATTTGCAATACAGGATTCCAATAAGTATTTATCATGCTTGTCTCATTTAGTTTCAGAAGTATCTTATAAAATAAATATTATCTCTATCTCCATTGTATAGAAGAATAAACTGAGGTTTAAAAAAATTAAAGTCGCACAGCTAGAACTTGGTGGCATCAGGATTCAAAACCAGGCTGCCTGATTCCAGTATATATCCACTAACCACTTTATCATACTACCTCTTATGTATGACAAGTTAATAATATCCTTAATATGTCAACAGCTCTTAAAACTCAATGATAAAAATAAAAGGACCCCAATAAAAATGAGCAAAATACAAAAACAGGCAATTCACAAAAGAAGAAATACAATCAGTCAGTATAAACATATGGAGAAATATTCACCATCACCAGCATTCTGAGGAAGGCAAATTAAAATGAGACGCTGCTTTCCATTAGCAAAGATTTTATCTACCAAATTTTTTTTAATATCCTGTATTTGGTGAGTGTATCCATTAAGGATCTTTGATTGTGAGCAATACCCCCTGAACTTTGGACTGTTCTCTTCAGAGTACTGCCTCCTCTGTTCAGGACTCTCTCTAACGGACAGGTGGGCAGGTTAGGGGTGCGGGAAGAGTCCAGTGGGTCTAACCTGGTTCAAGTGAGCTCACCTGTGATAGAAGTACCTGGTTATTGCCAGCCAACCAGAATTACAGGAGTTGAGGAGCAATAGCTCTACCAAAGGCAGGGATACTAGGCAGACAAAAACAACAGACGTCTATTGCAGGGCAGGCAGAAACTTCCACACTCATTGATTTCCTTTCCTAAATCTAATTTGACCAGATACAGCCAAAGCCTGGAAAAATGATCACACTCTCTGACCTAGCATTTCTACGTTGACAAATTTACTCTAAGAAAACAGTCAGAGAGGTGACCCAAAAATGTGCATACAAACATTATCACAGCTTTATTTATGAAAGTGAAATGTAGGAAACGATATTTCGTAATAGTGGACTGACCATATGTGTTTTAGCATATCGAGCTTACAAAACACCATGCAGCCATCAGAAAACATGATGTTCAGAGATGTTCAGAGAACATTTCACAACACAGGAAAATGTCTACAAAATAATCTTAATTGGAAAAGCACTTTGTCCATGAACATGTGTAATTTGTAATAAGGGGAAAAATAGCTCATACATTTTTTCCTCCAAAATAAAGCTGCCAAGGAGGTGCCAGAATTCCAAAAGCAGCATCAGATCATAGAAGACAGAGCCCCTCCTATCCTGAGAGCTTAGAAAACAGCGTGAGAGATTCAAGTTAAACCCAAGGAAGAACTTCCTGACTGTGACGGCTGCCCTGGACTGGAATGAGTGAGTAAGACAAGCCCTGGAATGTCACCTTCCTTTCTCAGGCTCAGATGAAATATTGCCCTGCTTTCAAGGTCCAGGAACTGAATGGGGGTGGGGGAGGCATCCCAGCTCAGTCAGGAATTAGTTATGTGTTCCTGGGCCAGGCCCCTCTGATCTCAGGCTCACAGTTTCCTCATCTTTCAAATGGGAGGCCGGGTGTGGTGGTTCATGCCTCGAATCCTAGCACTCTGGGAGGCCAAGGCAGGAGGATTGCTTGAGCCCAGAAGTTCAAGATCAGCAAGAGTGAGACCCTGTCTCTACTAAAAATAGAAAAATCAGCCAGATGTTGTGGTGCGCACCTGTAGTCCCAGCTACCCAGGAGGCTGAGGCAGGAGGATCGCTTGAGCCCAGGAGTTTGAGGTTGCTGTGAGCTATGATGATGCTAGTGCACTCTACCCAGGGCAACAGAGTGAGACTCTGTCTCAAACAAACAAACAAACAAAAAAACATATGGAAGGGTTGAGAGGATGCACTTGATCTCCTCCAGTGCTGACAGAGTACTAGGATTTGATGGAGTTTCTGTTTGAGACCTTAGAGCGTTGAGCCATCTCTCTTCCATCAAAAGCAGGAGCCAACATCTTGGATGTGAAATCTAAGGTGGGGGTCCCTGGATGAGATAACATTTTTACTCAAGATCCCTTGGGGCCAGAGAAGGGGTCCCAGTGGCCACCTACACCTGCTGTGACCAGCAAACTTAGCCAAACCAAAAGCCACACTCCACCCACACCCGACAGCCAGGCCAGCCCCAGGCAGACAGCAGTTCTACCAGATGCCACTGCAGGTGACCTCAGCAAAGGTGGGGTGAGAAGGAAGAAGTGGGGAGGACTCCTTCCTCCCCTAAGTTGTTCTGGCCTCCCCGGGGCTGCAGGTGTTAATCTGGGGGTCCCTGATCTTCTTAGGTTCCAGCAGCAGAAACATGAGGTTTTGGAGCCTCTTCCTCCTGGTGATGCTCCTGGCTGTGGGGAGCCAGCTGCCTGCTGCCTCTGGCCGGAAGAAGGGAGGTGAGTGCGAGTGCATCCCCTGATCCAGGGGCCAGGTGGTTTCTACCTCCCTGGAGAGAGTAGGTGTTTGGGGTAAGGCAGATAACTCACTGTGTGTGTGCATGTGTGTGTGCGTGTGCGTGTGTGTGTGCGTGTGCGTGTGTGTGTGTGTGCTTCTTAGTGCTTCCAGGAGCCTGTGTTTTCATTTGTGCATCTTTGTGCCTGTCCACCTGTCTGTGTCTGTGAGTATCTGTAAAGGTCCTTCTAACACTTTCTCAATGCTTGTCTTAGCCTGTCCGTGCATCTGTGTGTGGGGACACACGTGTGCCTGTCTCTGTGTAGATGTATGTCTTTGTGTCTGCCAGTCTGTGCCAGGCTGTCTGCACACGTACACTTAGGAAAGGCTGCATCCGTGTGTGTCTGAGCTTGTGTGCCTGAACGTGTGTGTACATGGGTCGGGGAGGGGCGCTATCCTTGCCTGCTTCTCTGTGGTGTGACCAGGTCAGGGGGTCCGTGGCCCAATCCGGGGAAAGGACTTGGGAGTTGAGCAGGGGGTGGAGCTTCTGGGATCTGGGGTCTGTTGCGAGAAATCTCTGTCCCTACCTCTCTTATCCCCCCACCTCCCATCCTGATTCCTACCCCGACAGGGCTCTGACACCTGGCCTCTGACAGGTGAAGGAGGGCTGCCGAGTGGTTAGACAGGTGCCTCCTGATCTGGGTGAGGCCTCCACCTCCCTCCCCTTCTGAGGCTGGAACACTCTGACCTACATTCACCCACACAGCCCTGGCCCTGCCTTGGAGGAAGAGGACAGTGATGGGAACAGGCTGAGGAAGGAAGGATATTGGTGGGTTCCGAGGCCAGACCCTTTGTTGGCTGTGATTCACGTACCATCACCACATAACTCCTCAGTGATGTTGTGAGGTTGGGACTGTTTTATCACCATTTTGCAAATGAGGAAAACTGAGGCATAGTGGGAAACCACTTGCCTAGGGCCAAAGACCGACTCTGAGTCAGTGTAAAGGCAGCCTGCGAATGCAAGTCTTGGAATCAGAATGGCTCATCTGCCAACTTACTCCTCGTAGAATGGGGCCCCTTGCCTTTCTCTGAGCAGTCAACGGTGTCTCGAGGAATAAGGGCCTGCACTTACTGTGTGCCGGGCCCTTTGGGGAACCACTGGAGGACCCTGATACTCAGCCTGGCTGTTCAGAGGTGACAGCTGGTGCAGCAAAACCTGAGCCTGCTCAGGGCCTCTCTATGTGGCAAAGTGTGACACACCTGTCTCTCCCCTAGTTCGCTGCATCCTGTCCTTCCCCAATTTCTCCCCTGTGAGCCTGGCTTTCGGTACAATTCCAGACAATGGAGGAAGGTGACAGGGCTGAGGGAAAGGAAATCCCAGTTTTTGGTCTGTGGAGGCCCAACCGCCTCTGTTTATAAGACACACCCCCTGCCCCTCACTCTGATGTCTGGGTGTCTCTCATACAAAGAGCCTGGCACAGGCCCTGATGAACAATAAGTGCCTGATTGAATGTTTTCCAGTTATGTAGCATTGGGGGCATGTCCGTGTCTGTGTAGCTCTGTGCATATGACTCTGTACGTATACCTGTGCATATGTGTATATGTGTCTCTCTGCTCATACACATGCCACATATACTTATATACATGACTGTGTGTCTGAGGGTATCCGTGTGTGTGTATCTATGTGTGTAGACACGTATACATGACAGTATGCTTGGATATTTGACGCAGAGTTTATGTCCCAGTTCATATGTACACATATGACTGCCTGTGTTTATATATATGTGTGTGTTTATAAATATACTGTAAATATCTATACAACTATCTGATGTGTGCCTGATGTGTGTGTCTTGGGTTGAACTATGTAAAATTGCTATTTTTGGAGATCAGAAAAGTTGACTACCTGCAATTTCCTGTGGTTAAGCCTGTAGCTAATTGTGTGCTTGCACATTTGACTGTGTACGTGTGTCTGTGTGTCTAGGTGTGACTCTTTTCCTCTCTGAGTGCACACATCCACGGCCCCTGCATCTGTGTGTGTGACTGTCTTTGCATATGTCTGCGGGTGGGAACCCAGATTTGCAGGGATGGCCAGAAAGGCGGATGAACAGACTGAGTGTGACTGCCCGACCCGCTCACGCCGCCTCTACGCACTCCAGGCTTTTATTCCCACCTCCACACTGCAGCCGTCGCAGTCCTCCCCACCTGAAATACCAACTCTCAGCCCCTCTCCCGCCTGTTTGTTCCTCAAGGCTCAGCTCTGGGCCCCGCCCTGGATGCGACTTTGAGGGCAGGCGGCTCCCTTGGGCCCACTCTTTGAGGCCTCAGCACCTCCGGCGTGTGCGTTCAGGGCTAAGCCCTGATCCTCAGGCAGTCTCCCTGGGCTCGTCACATCACCCCTTCCACCCAAACCCCCATTCCACCCTCCTCCCCTCAGGAGATGCTACGCAGAGGAGGGGCTCTCTCACAGGCTATGCCACCCTTTCTCCAGCAGGGGGCAGCAACTCAATTTAAGCCAACCCAATCGAACGACGGATGTCAACTTGAGCACTTGGGATGTGAGCAAGGTGGCCCCCAGGCAGGGGGCCGAGGGGCACGGGTGGACATAGAGTTAAAGTCACAGCACTGGATCCAGCTGCTGGGAGGGTTTCCTGAACCTTCTCTCTGATGCTAGATGGAATGGAAGGCCTGGGACCTGCTCCATCTCTACGGCCCACAGCCAGCCAGAGCAGAGGGTCGCAGAGGTCAGAGGGAGCTAGGCCCGGGGTGTCCTAGCCTGAACCCGTGTGGGTCTGGGCAAGTCACTGCCCCTTTCAGGCCTTATTTCTTGCTCTAATGGAAGAAGATACTGGTCTCCAGCCTTCTGTGTGAAATCTGGAAATGGTCCAAAATCCCAACAAGAAGAGCAGTTAGGTAAGCTCCGGGACAGAACATTCTATAGCCATTTGACGAACACCTCAGAGATGGAGTTAATCCCTGACCCCTGAAACCATGCCGCTTGCAGCAATGATGTGCACAACAGTGCGGATGTGGCCAAACGTGGCCGTGGCTGGCAACGGCCGACACACGAACAATGCTGGGTCTCACTTCAAAACCCTCTCTCTGGAATAGTCACTGAGCCCTCGTGCTGTGATACAGACTAACAGTGAGCAAAGAGGGCAGGGTGTCTGTCCTCACAGCCTCCAGCCAAGCGAGAGACGCAGGCAAACGGAGGCAGAGTCCCAAACCCCGAAGGGAAGATACTTTGGGAGTGTGTGGGGTGGGGCGTGATGGGGGCTGACCCAGTTAACGTGGGGTCAGAGAAGTAGGATCTTCTGAGCATGTGATGTTCTAGCCGAGACCTAACAAGCTGACCAGACAGATGGTGTGCAGGAGAGTGTGCCAGGCCAGCGGTACAGCCAAAGCCAGAGCCCTGCAGAGAGAAGTGGCTCAGAGCAGATCAGGAAGGAGCGGGGGACAAGGAGGCCGGGAGGTGGACACAGGCCAGGCCAAGCACGGCACGGCCTGTTGGCCACAGTGGAGATTTTGAACTTCACCCTTTCCTATCCTTTGTGCCATCTGAGTCTCAAACTAGCACTGGGGAAAGGAGTCTAGCTTCCCGTTATTTCACAGCCAGAAAACTGAGGCTTGGAGTAGTTAAGCAAACAAAACAAAACAAAACCTTGCCAAAGTACACGCAAAAACTAAGGGATGGACAATTCAGATCTTGTGAGTGCCGGGTCCGTGCTTGTTACAGAGCCCTGAGCTGCCTCCAGCTGCAGGATTTGGGGGTTCTCTTACAGAGAAAGCAGGGGGCTGCCCGCCAGATGACGGGCCCTGCCTCCCATCGGTGCCTGACCAGTGCGAGGATGACAGCCAGTGTCCCTCGACCATGAAGTGCTGCTACCAAGCTTGCTTCCGCCACTGCGTCCCCCGGGTCTCAGGTAAGTGCCCGTCCACCTTGCCGACTGCCCAAGCCCCAAGCCCCAGGGCCGGCTGGCACGGGCACAGCTCACCCAGGCCCCTGTGTTGCAGTGAAACGGGGCAGCTGCCCTGAGGACCGACTGCAGTGCCTGAGCCCCACCAAGCACCTGTGTCACCAGGACTCGGACTGCTCAGGCAAGAAGCGGTGCTGCCACAGCGCCTGCGGCCGGGATTGCCGAGATCCTGCCAGAGGTACAACTGCTGGGTGCCTGGAGCAGGTGCCTTCCCTGTTTCCTGAGTACCTGGGGCAGGTGCCTTCCCTCTCCAAGGCCCAGCTCTAAGATTTTCTTCCAGTTCTTCAAGCTTAACCTCCCCAGAAGCCAGGACCTCCCGTGGCCGGAATTGGGGAAATGGATAGGTACGGGAGGGGTCTTGTTAGGGAGACGGAGGAACTTGCTGTACCACCAGGACCACATCCCTAAGCTGCTCTGGGTTTCAGTCTGCTCTTTAAGGAGAATGGGGAGTTCTGCCTTAGTAGGAACCAGGGCTGGGCTGATGGGGCCCGGATGGGGGAAATCAAGCCCCAAACCCAGAGCCCTATTGTGGGAGGGGGTTAACCCTTTCTTCCTCTCTCCTCAGGCTAATTCTGGTTTAGGATCCATGGCTCTGCACTGCAGGTGGGAGCAGCAGAAAGAGTTGATGCTGGGAATCCTGAGGCCTCCCAGACAGCACCGTCCCTGCCAGCAGCAGTTCCAGCCTTCCACTAGACACTGGCCTGTCGTCTGTTCCCTGCGACCCAGCCACTGAAGGCCTCTGTAACACCCAGTACCCCGCACCACTGCCACACTGAGCTGCCCCCCCTTCCCAGCACCTACTTTCACCTCTCTCTGCACGTTTCCTCCACCTAACATGCCCAATTCAGGCAGGCCCCTCTTTGTGGAGCCCTAACCCTACCCTCAGGCAGCCCAACTGCCCAGAACATATGTTCTAGCAGAATTTTCCTAACATCAGTCCATTTACATACACCTCTTTCACAGTTTTCACCATATCTGCAAACCAGTGTTATGATATGTTGCATGCTGCCTGTACTACTATTCACTTATGTTTTTCTTTAAATGACTCACTTTTGTATACAAATAAACATATTTCAAAAGAAAACTTGATATCATTACTATAAATGGGATAAATGAGATCACTTGCCACAAATGGAATGTAATTGTGGGAAACAAATGCAATGAGAACAGCTCAGTTCCATTAAAGTAAGTCATGTCAGATTAAATGATACTAAATAATGTTATTAAACTCTAGCTAGATACAGCCACCTGCCAAGACTGAGCCTGGAGCCTGCTCTCTGTCTCTGTTTTAATAAACGGAGATTAGCGAGGGTTAAAGAGATGTTAGGGATGCATTTAGGGAGAACTTATCCCTTAGGGTAATCAGAAGAATTGAAAAGAGAAAAACTTTCTCACTCCGAGTCAATGTTGTGTGATGTCGCATCCAACTACACGCTGAGACCATTTCGATATGCCCCAAAGCTGGGGAAATGTTGCTCAAGCAGTTAAGATGTCATTGTTATGGAGGGTCTCCTGCCACCACTGGGCCTCCATCCACCTCACTTGCCTCAATTTCTCCAGGGCCCCATCTGTAGTCAGGGTCTAATGAGTGTTTCTTGGGGGCAGAGAGGGTCAATAAGGGAATGACAGCCATCCTAAGGGACATTCCTGGACCCAGACAGCCAGATTCCTGACTCCCTCTTACCTGGTACGTGCTTTGAGCAGAGAAAGGAGGCAGGCAAACTCCTCCCTGCTCTGTCTGCTGGGCCTCTTGTGTCCTGATGGACTCTGGGGTTGGGACGTCAACCATGGAGGTAAACTTGAAAATCCTGGGTCTTCTTCACCTTGCAGTGTGATCTCAGGTGAGTCCTTCACCACTCTGTGTTTCTGCTTCCCCTCTTGGAAGATGGAAAGAATTGTACTTCCTCACCACCGGTCCTTATGGGATTCAAATGCCTGAACTATTGACTCGGAAGTGGCAAATGCTAACTGTATAGATCCGAGGGGAAGGCTGGGAGAGGAGGAGAACTATCCAGGAGTCACTGACTCCATGTGACCTTGGATATTTCTCTTCCTCTTTCTGGGCCTCGGCTTCCCCATCTGTATATAACCTCAGGTAGTTAACACAGATAATACGGTGGACTGGATTATTTGCCCACAACTGCCCCCTCCCTTCCCGTGTGTACCATGGCTTCCCTGGGGGAGGGTGCACATCCCTGCCCCAGCGAATGGGGCTTGGCTATATGGCTTGCTTTGCTTAATGGGATGTGGGCGGACATGATGGTGCGCCAGTTTCAATACAAGGCCCCAGTCTTCTTACAGCTTCCACCCTCCGCCATGGGAAGAGTTTACAGTCTCAGCATGAGAGACACATGGGACAGGCCTGCGGTTTCCCAGCCAATCTCAAGCTTTTGAGAGAGAAATAAATGTTTGCAGTAGGAAGCCATAGAGATTTGGGGGCTGTTTGTCACAGATTTATCACAGTAAGAGTTGACTGATTCAGATACTGATTATTAGTCTGCAGTGAATGCCCAATTTATGCCTCCCACTTTAAAACATCATTTCATTCACCCATCCCATAGAAATAGTGGCTTTGAGATAAGTGACTTGTCCGAGACCCCCAGCTGAGAGGTGACAGATCCAGGATTCAACCATACCATATTCCTCCTTAGATATTAACAAAAGCAGCAACAGCTAACAATTACAGAGCTTATTCTGCGCCAGATGTTGTTTTAATTACTTATATATATAATCTCATAAAATCCTCACAGCCTTATAGTAAGCTTCATTAATTTTCTCCATTTTACATATGGGAAAACTGAGGCACAAAGAGGTTAATTTGGCCAAGGTCGTACAGTTTATACATAGTAGAGCTGGGATTTAACCCCACACAGTCTAATCCTAAACTACATCCTTACTAACTACACTAATCAATTACATTTAGTCTTTGAAGATTCCTTCCAGCTCTAAAGACTCTGTTTCCACATCTGAAAAATGGGGATCACAAAAACCTAAAATGGTTAAGTGACCAGGCTCGATTCTAGACAACTGGAATCCAAGCCTGTTGGTGATGGCTTGTTGTCTTGGGTTTCTTTCCTCCTGCATCGGGAGGAAAATTAAGGGGCCCCAGCAGGAAGCTCCCAGATAAGCCAGTTATGGCACATATGGTCATAAAGTGATATAGTGGACATTGGAAACTAAGAAAAGAGGAGGGTGGGAGGAGGTGAGGGATCAAAAATTATCTGTTGGGCACAATGTACACTATTCTAGTGGCATTTACACTAAAAGCCCTGACTTCGCCATTATACAATTTGTCCATGTAACAAAAAACACTTTTACCCCCTAAATCTATTGAAATAATAATAAAAATAAAAATACAAGGTCTCTCTTTGTCACCCACACTGAAGTGCAGTGGTATAATCGTAGCTCAATGAAGCCTGGAACTCCTGAGCTTTGATCCTCCTGCCTTTTCCTCCCAAGTACCTGGGACTACATGTGTACACCACCACACCAGGCTAATTTTTTTGTTTTTGTAGAGATGGGGTCTATCTATGTTGTCCAGACTGGTCTCAAACTCCTGGCCTCAAGTGATCCTCCCTCAAGATCATTATTTTGAATTCTTTGTCAGATAACACAAACAACTCTATTTTAAGAGTTGATTTCTGGATATTTATTTCATTCCTTCTAGCAAAAAAAAAGAAAAAAGACTTGGCTGCTAAGTGCCCCATGGCTATCCAGGGGCTCTGAGTTCTGATCTAGGTCCCTGGAATGACAGGAGGTGAAAGGTCGCAGAGTGTGGTTTCTCTGGCTACAGATGGCAACATCTACACAGTCCATTCTAGAGTCACCTGCTCAGCTTCCTGGCTAACTTGCTACCTGTTCCATTAAGTCTGTGCATTGGCCTATGCAGTGCCAGCTCTATGCTTGGCTGCCAAACTCCAACTCAGTCAGCTCCATCTCTACTACCTGTCTCACTGCCCTTCTGGAAAGTCTGGGAGGGTGCACACCTGGCTCCTTTTGCAGATTCCAGCCTTGCTTTCCTCCTCACTCATTCAATAAATGTTTGCTAAGCACTTAATATAGGCTCTAGGCCATGCCTTCACAGAACTCATGCACTAGTGGACGAGACAAAGCTCTAGCTAGATAGTTGCATGATATATACCAGCTAAAGAAACCTGGGAGGCTATAGGAGTCCAAACGGGATCTAACTCATTGTGGAAACCAGGTAAGGCTTCCTAAAGGAAGCAATATCCAAGTCAAAACCTTGAGTTTTAGCAGAATTTAGCCAAGTATGACATTGCTAGGGTTCATTCTCCCCTTCTTCCTTAGCAATAGCGCTATCCCCATTTGGAAATATTTGCCCCACCCAACATCCAGGCTACTGGAGTGCTGGTGACATTCTATATTTTGACCTGGATTTCAGTTACATGGTTGCACAAATTTGTTTAAAAATAGTAATTTAGCTGTAATGTCATATTTGTGCACTTTAGTATAAGGACATTTTATTTCAATTTTTAAAAGTAAATTAAAATTTTAAAAATTTGTTCCTAGGCTCCCTTGCAGCTAAGGATGGCCATGTGACCCAGGACTGGCCAATCAGAAGTAAAGGAAAGTCTACTGAGAGGGGCTTCCTGGAGAGCTATCATTTTCCTAACTAATGAGACAGATTCAGCCTTTTGTCCATCATCCATTTACCCTGTGTCTTTCCTGGAGCATGGCTGATGCAGCCAGAACAGCCATCTGGCATCCTTGAGGACAGTGTTAGTTAGGTCCCACCTAAACAAATCTTGAGATAAAGATTCATATCTTTATACGATGACATGGAAATGTTTCCAGGAAAAATGGGTATAGGAGTAGACAAGTGCACCAGGAAGAGAAGAGGCCAGCAATCGTATGACATCAAGTGAAGTCCCACAAGGCAGTTGTAGAGACAAGTGTAGGTGGGACACATAAATTCCCAGGGACTTTAGGCTCTCGCTGTGTGTAGCCAAAGCAGGCTCTAGCAGCCTCAGGGAAGCCCCAGATACTAGCTGTCGGGAGGAAAAATTCAGGAGCCAGAGGGCACAAAAGGGGTAAGAGATCCCCAGGGGGTTATGGGTAAGGATGAAAGCCACAGAAGAATGGTGAAGGAGGAAGTTACAAGGAACCCGCATCTTCGATGCCATTCATGGCAGCTGCACCTGCTCTGGCCTGCCAAAAAAAGTAAATTCCTCTCTAGTAAAGCCATTGTGTTTCATTTTCTATTCCTGCAGCTAAATTAAATCCTAACTGATACACTGGGTAAACAAAAGGCAGGAAGAGTCACTCACGGAGAGGGAACAGCCTGTGTTGAAAAGTAGATGTTGTCCCCATTTTACAGATGAGGAAAGTAAGGATCTAAGGAGACACTTGGCCCAAGATCACTCACACAGCAATATAGCGGCAAAGGCAGGATTCAAACCCAGTGTATTCATTATATATCGCTGTGTAACAAGTTGCCACAAATGTAGCAGCTTAAAACAACACACAGTTATTACCTCACGGTTTCTGTGGGTCAAGAATCCTGGGTCCTCTGCTTCGGGGTCTCTGCTCCCCAAGGCTACAGTCAAAGGGCTGGCCAGGGTGGGAGTCTCATCTGAGCCTCAGTTGGAGAAGGATACACTTTCAAGCTCACATGGTTGTTGGCAGAATTTTAGTTCACAAGTGCTCATGGAAAACCACAGTTCCTAGCTGGCTGTTGGCCGGAAGTCACCCTCATTTCCTTGCCTTTCCAGCATGGCAACTTGCTTCATCAAAGCCAAGCTTAAGTCACAAGCTTAAGTAACCTAATGACAAAAGTGACATTTCATCACGTTTGCTACCATTCTGTTCATTAGAAGCAAATGAGTAAGTCCTGCCCACGTGCAAGGGGAGGGGATTACACAAGGGCATGGAAGCCAAGAGGCAGGCATCGCAGGGAGACGTTTTAGAAGCTGGCTGCCACACTCACGTCAGCTTAATTCCAAATATATCTATTTTCTGCAACATCAAGCTTACTCTTCAGGTAAGACCCCATGGGTTCAAATGACCATTCCTGGCCAGGGACTGAAGGAGAATTTGGGGGACAGTCTATCCATGGTGCATAAAGGACATTGATAGCCCTTTAGCCCTAGACACCCACAATGTCCCTCTTCTCACTTCTATGACTCAAATTCATCCAGAACTGCGTTTACCTCCCACAACATGATCTGAGGATGAAACCAGATCCTGGTCCTGTTCTCATCTGCCCTTGGGAAACAGGACTGTCTCTTCCCTTTTTGGAAACCACCTCTCTAGCTCCAGGAAGAATGCCTGAGTTTTAGGGGTAGCCAAGGCTGCAGACAAAGTCCTAGGGCAGGAAATGGGAGACCTGCTTCTCTGCAGATCTGCCTCAGTTTCCCTGTTGGTAAAATGAGGGAGTTGGGCAAAATGATCACAAAGCAGCTTCCTGCTCTAACTTCTTACTTCAAAGGGAAAAGCTCTAGGTTGTGCTGATCAGTATGGTAGCCACTAGCCACATGTGGCTAATGAGCACATGAAATGTGACTAGTCCAAGCTGAGATCTGCTCTAGGTGAATGTGGTAGGCAGAATTCTAGGATAACCCCCAATGACCCTCGCCCCTGTATAATCTCTTCCTCTTTGAGTGTAGGTGGAGGCTGTGAAAGCGTGTTACGCGGCAGAAGGGAGATAGCCCTGGGTGGGCCTGGCCTAATCAGGGGAGTCCTTCAAAAAGAGAGATTTTCTCTGACTGGTTACAGGAGTTGGAAGTCAGCACTCTGGCTTGCCTGAAAGAAAGTCCATGCTGTGAACTGCCTCTGGGGACACGTGGCAAAGAATGTCTGGGGACTTCTAGGATCTGAGATTGATTGCCAGCAGGCAGCTAGCAGGACAAGGGGAACCTCAGTCCTACAACCACAAGGAAATGAACTCTGCCAATGGTCTGTGAGCTTAGAAGAAAACCCCAAACCCCAGATGAGAACCTCAACCCTGGCCGAAACCTTGGCTGACACCTTGGCTTTAACCTGGTGAGACCTTGCATGGAGAATCCAGCCATGCTCTGCCCAGCCCTCTGACCTTTAGAAACTGCGAGATGATAAATCTGTATCATTTTAAGCTGCTAAATTGGGATAATTTTTTTATGCAGCAATAAAAAACTAGTACACTGGATTTCAGAGACTTAGTATAAAAATGAAAATGTAAAATAACTCATTAATAATTTCTTTATTGAGTCCATGTTGAAATTATAATATTTTGGATCTATAATATTTTGGTTAAATAAAATATATTATAAAAAATAATTTCACCTGTTTCTGTTTACTGTTTTTTAATGTTACTATCAGAAATTTTAAATTATCTGTGTGGCTCACATTAGACTTACTGGATGGTGCTGGCCTAGAGGACTTACCTTGGGTAAGTCACCATGCCTCTCAAAGCCTTACATTTCTTATCTGTGAGATAGGAATGATCTATCTGCAGGTTGAATGAGATGAGGCCTATACTTGGCACAAGATAAGTGCTCAATAAATGTTGTTAATTATCATTATTATTAGTAACAATATTTGTGAAGCCTTGTGTCTGCAATACCCCTCCCCAGCCAGGCACACAGTAGCCTGTAAGTGCTTGAGGATTACACACCTTTACAAAGCTCTTTGGCTCAGCTCTCCTTTGCTCTCACAACCCACTTGGAAGGTGGGAATCAGGGATCCCTGGGCAGGTGAGGACGCTGAGCTCCAGGGGGCAAAAGGACCCATTTCAGGCTCCACAGCTCACCTGGGAAGAGCTAGGACTTGAGCTGGCTTGGGCACAGCCTGGGGGTCCCAGGGAGATGAAGCCACCTTCTACAACTCCCTTACTCAGACCTCCGCAGTGTGAGCAAGTGACCGGGCCTTATCTGTAAAATGGGGGACATAAGATCCTGTCCCTGTCTACTTTGTGTCAGGAATAACTGAGATAAGTCACCTGCAGCAGATGAAGTACCTGGCACATACTAAGCACTCAGTTAAACAAAGGACACTGTTGTTCCTTTGCCAGAGAAGCTTCAGCTGAAATCCCTCTCTAGGGGGATCCCCATCGCCTAAATGACCCCTCCTTCCCGGGACCCTGACTTGGGAGGCTGCCCTGGCCGTTGGGTCCGGTCTCCAGACACCACTACCACCCAATCAAGTCAAGAATAGAAACCACCGCCTCCGGCTGCCCGCGGCCCCCCTCCCTCCCCCGGCAGCGATCGATGCGTCCTCAGCCGCGGGGACGGAGGCGGACAAGGAGCAGGGAGGAGGGTGCAGCGGGGCCTCAGAGAGCAGCGAGGTTCTGCGGGGCCGCCGGGACAGAGAAGAGCCCGAGCACAGCCAGGGGCTCCCCAGCCTCGGCGCTTTTGGGGACACACGCACAGGGCCCCCCGGGAGGGCCCGCGACAGGTAAGGGGCCTCCTCGGAGAGGGGCGTGGTCCGGGCAAGGTCCCGAGTGGGAAACGGGGCTGCCTGGAGTTCCCGGTGTTCGTTCCCCCTCTAGGCAAGTCCCCCAAGGACTGAGCGATGTGCGGTGGCAGGCTCTGGGGAGAGCAAAGCCGGTCCTGCTTGCTCATCTGTAAAATGGGAGCAGAAAACCTCCCTGGCAGGGTTGGTGTGGGGATTAAACAGAATGTGGCGTGTACAAAGCCCAGCCAAGCGACTGGCAGGTAGCAGGTGCTCAAAATAAGGGTGTGGAAAGAGTCTCAAATCAAAAAACCTGGTCTCCAGCCTTATTTGTGCCATGGACTAGCTGGGTGATTTTGAACAAGTCACTTAATCTTTCTTACTGATACTCAGATTCTTGTCAGGAAATGTTTGGTGAACTAATTAACCCATTTCACAGAGCAGGAGAGTGAGTTCCAGATAGATGAAGGGATTTGCCCAATGTCATGCTTCTAGTGGGTGATGGAACTGGATTAGAAAGTTCATCTTCCAATGCCAAATCCAGGTGGAGGTGGGCATGGGGCTGCAGAACACACATATTTATGTGCACAGGTTATGTGCCAGGGACTGTGTTGCCGATAAACATCTTGCGTCATTTAATCCTCCTGGCCTCTCATGGGAAGTATAGTGTTGCTCAGGGGACAGAGGGGGAACCTGAAACCCAGAGAGGGCAATGAGCCACTCAAGGTCAGCAGCTAGGAAGTGGCAGACTTGGAATCCGAACGCAGGTCTGACCAGAGGGAAGTACAAGGGGGCAGTGCTTATTGAGCACCTACTGTGTTCCGGGGCTTTGCACACATATAGTAACTGTTCATCCAAAGTGCCATTATCCCCATTCTCTTAGAGGTAAGAGAGTTAAAACCCAGAGCAGGTAAGAGACTGGCCTGAGGTCACACAAGTGACAGAGCTAAGGACCAGCTTAATACCAAGCCCAGGATAAGTGAAGGGCATTTGGGCTCCCTGCCAGGTACTGGGCTGGCTTGATGCATACTTGATCCTCTGGCCACCCAGGGAAGTAGGCATTACTGAACCCACAGTGCAGATGACATTACCAAGGGTCAGGATGTGAGTCAGTAGCCCTCAATTCCAGCAGAGCCAGGAGTCAGTGGGTAGTGGAAAGACTCGAGTCCTTCCTGAGTATCCACTAAGGCCGAGCACTTTCCATAACCTACCTTAATCCTCCTGCCATCCCTGTGGGTAGGCACTTTTGTCTGCGTTGTGCATTGTGCAGGAAAGCGAGTCTTGGAGAGTGAAGAGCTTCCCCAAGGCCCCAGGTGCATCAAGTGTGGATATAAACCCGGTTTGCCTGACTCCAGAAGACAATGACGCAGGTGGATAATTTCATAAACCCCATGAGCCAGGCCCAATAAATATATTAGGTCATTTAATGTTTTTAACCACACTTAGAGGTGGGTATTTTTATCTCCATTTGACAGACTCAGAAAAGTGATGTGACATGCCTAAGGTCACATAAGAGAGCCTTGGCTCAAGGCTCAAGGTCAGGTCTAACTCTACAGATGCTTTGCACAATTATAAGCCAGTGGCTCTCAAACTTGACTGTATCCAAATCACCCTTGAAGCCAGTTAAAACACTGCTGGATCCCCACCCCCAGAGTTTCTGGTTCAGTAAATCTACAGCAGGCTGAGAATTTGCATCTTTCACAAATTCCCAGGTGATGCTGATGCTGCTCGTCCGGGGAACACACTTTGAGAACAACTGGTCTAAACTGATTCCCCCAGCAGCCCTAGATGGTAAGTATTAACATCCCCATTTTGCAGAGGAGGAAACTAAGATTCAGAGGGGCAGCATGTCCAAGATCCCACAGTAGACTTCCGGTGTGCTTATCCAAGTTTGTCAGGGAACAGGAGACACCCTATATGGGCAACCGCCAGGTGCCAGGACATTCTGCCATTCCATTGCTTTCATAATCCTTCAAGGTAGATTTCAGCATTTGTTTTCCGCAGAAGAAAAATGAAATGAAATGGGCATGCGGAGGGTCACTGATTTGGCCAAAGTGCCCCCGTTGGGGGTTGGGGGATATTCAAATCCAGGCCTGACTCTGAGTCCAGAGGGCACTTGACACCTACTGAGCATTTACTGCATACCAGGTACTTCAGAGCCTCCAACACCCCCTGGCTGGTGGATGGAGCAAGATTTTTTTTTTTTTTTTTTTTGAGACAGAGCCTGGCTCTGTTTCCCTGGCTAGAGTGCGGTGGCGTCAGCCTAGCTCACAGCAACCTCAAACTCCTGGGCTCAAGAGATCCTCCTGCCTCAGCCTCCCGAGTAGCTGGGACTACAGGCATGCGCCACCATGCCCGGCTGATTTTTTTTTTCTATATATATACTTTTAGTTGTCCAGATCATTTCTTTCTATTTTTAGTAGAGACGGGGTCTCGCTCTTGCTCAGGCTGGTCTCGAACTCCTGACCTTGAGCGATCCAACCGCCTGGGCTTCCCAGAGTGCTAGGATTACAGGCGTGAGCCACCGCGCCCGGCCGGAGCAAGATATTTTAACACGATTTTCCTGGACGGGAGGCCTGGGGACCCCTCCTCAGCGCGCCCCTCCGGTGTCCGCAGGTGGGAGCACTGCAGCCCTAGCGAGCGAGCCCCCGGAGCCCGACTCCGGGGTGCCTGACTCCGGGGTCCCCTGGCGGCGGAGCGACGAGGCGCTGCGCGTGAACGTGGGCGGCGTGCGGCGGCGGCTGAGCGCGCGCGCCGTGGCGCGCTTCCCGGGCACGCGGCTGGGCCGCCTGCAGGCCGCGAGGTCGGAGGAGCAGGCGCGGCGCCTGTGCGACGACTACGACGCGGCGGCGCGCGAATTCTACTTCGACCGGCACCCGGGCTTCTTCCTGAGCCTGCTGCACTTCTACCGCACCGGCCGCCTGCACGTGCTCGACGAGCTGTGCGTCTTCGCCTTCGGCCAGGAGGCCGACTACTGGGGCCTGGGCGAGAGCGCTCTGGCCGCGTGCTGCCGCGCGCGCTACCTGGAGCGGCGCGTGGCGCGGCCGCGCGCCTGGGACGAGGACAGCGACACGCCGAGCAGCGTGGACCCGAACCCTGACGAGATCTCCGACGTGCAGCGCGAGCTGGCGCGCTACGGTGCTGCACGCTGCGGCCGCCTGCGCCGCCGCCTCTGGCTGACCATGGAGAACCCGGGCTACTCGCTGCCCAGCAAGCTCTTCAGCTGCGTCTCCATCGGCGTGGTGCTCGCCTCCATCGCCGCCATGTGCATCCACAGCCTGCCCGAGTACCAGGCCCGCGAGGCGGCGGCCGCCGTGGCCACAGTGGCCGCGGGCCGCAGCGCGGAAGACGTGCGCGACGACCCGGTGCTGCGACGCCTGGAGTACTTCTGCATCGCCTGGTTCAGCTTCGAGGTGTCGTCGCGCCTCCTGCTGGCGCCCAGCACGCGCAACTTCTTCTGCCACCCGCTCAACCTCATCGACATCGTGTCGGTGCTGCCCTTCTATCTCACGCTGCTGGCCAGCGTGGCGCTGGGGGGCAACAACCACGGCGGCACGAGCGGCGAGGAACTCGGCCACCTGGGCAAGGTCGTGCAGGTGTTCCGCCTCATGCGCATCTTCCGTGTGCTCAAGCTGGCGCGCCACTCCACCGGGCTGCGCTCGCTGGGCGCCACGCTCAAGGTAGGACCCTCGGAGGCCGCTTTGGGGTGGAGGGAGGCGGGTGTAGCCATCCGGGAGGTTGGCGGGTGAACTTATAAACCTGCCACGTCCAGGCGCACGTTGAACAGAGACGCAGTCCCTTGTGCCAGGCACAGAGCTGGATGCCAGGTGTACAGTTTCGCATCTGGTCTGACCTTCCCAACAGCCCTGTAGGGAAGAGCTTACTGTTTGTTACCTCTATTTCCCAAGGAGAAAACTGAGGCATAGCTTCGCTTGTCTTTCCTTTTCAAAAACAAACAAAAAACAAGACAAAGGTCACTTTTGATATATCCGTCAAACATAAAATAACACATAGCACACAGATGTGCAAAGCAGGATGCTAACTGGTTTCTCTGCCAGAGCCTTTCTTCTGGCATTATGGGGGGCACAGACAGTCACACGTCTTCCTTAATAGGCAAAGTCTAGAAATAGCCCCCGCACTAATACTGAGCCCTAAATCTGTGCCAGTTTCACATGCATTATCAATTTAGTCCTTAGGACAGCTTCTTCAGGAAGATGCTATTATTTATTCTCTTCCCGTAGATGAAGAAGCTGAGGTTGGAGGGTTGGCTTTTAAAAGCCCGGTTGCAGTTTACTGAGCACTGTCCTTGTGCCAGGCTCTGCGCTGGGGCTGAACCAGTGCCCTGACAAGCTTACACTTGAGGCAGGGAAATTAGCCTGATTTGGGGAGGGAGGCAAGGTGAATGGCTCGTGCCAAGGACTGGAAAGGGAGCAGGATGAATGGCTGGGAGGGGGACATGAAGGGAGGAGACAAGATTGAGGAGGTGAGTGGAGCAGGGTACTGAAGGACCATGAACTCTTGGCCCACAACTTTGGATTTTATCCCAAGGGCATAGGGAGCTAGCGGGGGCAGGTATTATTGTGGATGCGGAAACTGAGGCTCCAAGAGGGGACAAGACTTGCTGGAGGTTCCTTAGTAAGTGGCGGAGCCTAGGGAAGAACCCAGCTTTGCCTGGTTCCAGCACCTCATGCTCTGTCTCCTAAAGCTCCCTGCAACCCTGCTGAGGATCCCCAGAAGATGGTAAAAGATCCCTTCCACCCGTGGCTTAGTAAAGCCTCTTGCATGTCCTTATGGCAGGGCTACCAGGAGACTGGGTACTGGCAGGTGACCTGGGCAGAATCCTAGGGCAGTGGGCAGGTATAGGGAATTCCATCAGCCAGACCCCCTGAGCTCAGCATCTCTGCAGGGAAGATCCCTCTGCCCCAGAACTCGCCTTGCCTCCACCATGCAGAGAGCCAGGGCCTGATGCTGCCAGCTTTGTCTGCAAGGAGAGAGAAGAGGATTGATGGGAAGTGCCAGGGCCCGAGATACAGGTGTAAGACATCCCAGATGAGAGCCTTGCGGCTGAATGTGAGGCTGCTGACCACCAGCAGCTTTCTCATCACCTGGAAATTTGCTAGAAGTGCAGACGTTCTGGCCTTACCCCAGATCTACTCAATTGGGTTCTGCTTTTTAAACAAGATCCCTACGTGATTCCGCCACACATTACAGTTGGAGAGTTCTTGCTCCGGCTTAGGGGTTCTCAGCCTTGACACTTGGGACCAGATAATTCTTTGATGTAGGGAGTTGTCCTGTGTATTGTAGGATGTTTAGCAGCACCCCGGCCTCTGCCCACTAGATGACAATAGCACACCTGTCCCAGTTGTGACAACCAAAAATGTTTCTAGACATTGCCAAATGTGCCCTCAAGGGCAAAATTACCTTTTCGAGAATCACTGCCTTAGTGCTTGGCCTCAGGGACAAAGCAAACAGGGACTGCCATAGCAAAGTGTATCCTGTGCATGATCTAGGGAACTTACAGCCTCCCAGCTTCCGAGAGAGGCAAAAATATTTTCCTACTTGTCAAAACAAATCAAAAGTACATGAAACCAACTTTGCATTGTGGAATATAAACTATGGCTCTCTTGGTCCTGTAACAGTGTAAAAACCACAAGCTCTTCAGTCACTGGCTGTTGCCACCAGTAACGCTCAAGTTAGATGAAGCACTGGTGGTCTAGGCAGGCACCTTGGACAACAGAAATCAGGCCTGTGTTCAATCCGAGGAAGTTTTGCTGCCTATTTTAGTTGGAAGATCTTAATTCGGAGTCAGGGATTCTGGGTCTTGGTAGCAGCTCTACCTTGCTCTGTGACTTTGGACCTGTCCCTTATGTTCTCTGGGCCTCAGTTTCCCCATATACCCAATACAAGGTCTTTAAACCCAGCCAGCTCTGATTTGGGTTCCTACATTCCCTTTCAGCACAGCTACCGTGAGGTGGGCATCTTACTGCTGTACCTGGCCGTGGGTGTGTCAGTGTTCTCCGGCGTGGCCTACACAGCTGAGAAGGAAGAGCACGTGGGCTTTGACACCATCCCAGCTTGCTGGTGGTGGGGCACAGTGAGCATGACCACCGTGGGCTACGGGGATGTGGTGCCGGTGACATTGGCTGGCAAGCTGGCAGCCTCGGGCTGCATCCTAGGGGGCATCCTGGTGGTAGCGCTCCCCATCACCATCATCTTCAACAAGTTCTCCCACTTCTACCAGCGCCAGAAGGCTCTGGAGGCAGCTGTGCGTAACAGCGGCCACCGAGAGTTTGAGGACTTGCTGAGCAGTGTTGACGGGGTGTCAGATGCGTCTCTGGAGACATCCCGAGAGACCTCTCAGGAGGGAAGGTCTGCAGACCTGGAGGCCCCCAGTGAGTCTCCAAAGCCACAGATTTATTAAAACCAGGGCTCCATGACCCCTTCCCATGCCCCTGCAGTCAGCTGGAACAGAGCAGAGATTCCTCCCTCTTAAGTTCTTCGTGGTAGTGAACCTCTCAGGACCACTCATGCTGGCCTGAGAAATGAGACTCAGAGGCTGCATATCTTCCTCCCAAGGCCTGGGGCAGGAGATGGTAATACCTAGATTCTGCGAGATTCTGAGAGCAGCCTGGAAGCCGTCCACGAAGGAGGCATGAGCCGGAGGGAGAAAGTCGAAAGGATGCCAGTGATTCCTGGGCACCTCCTATATATTGCCAGTGTTTGGCCCTGTGTTGGAGGATGAGAATTATCCCCATTTCAGAGATGAGGAAACCGAGGCTCAGAGGAGCAACGACTCACCCAAACCCACACAATAGAAGTGGCAGAGTCAAGTCTGGAATCCAGGCTTGTTGGTCTGCTGGAACCCGTGCTCCATCAACTCCCTCTTTCTTCTGACCTCATGAAGTTTGCATGAGGTTTTAGGGGGTTCCTGGATCCCTAAAGTTGATCCATAGGGTGAGGCCCCTTTCAGAGTAAGAGAAAGGACCAGACAGGAGATTTGGATGAATGACACCCGGACCTCAGCTATGGTTCTTTTCTAGAAGCTTCTGACAGGAGTCAGCTCTCAAAGATGAGTCTTGGGAGGGAGGAGAAGGGAACTGCCTCTTCAGCTGATGTGCAAGATTTGCTAAGCAATACTCTCCCGCACCTTCCTCCCAGGGCTGACTTGAGTTAAGGAAAATCTGAAAGGGCTTGAGGCCTCAAGTCTAGACCCAGCTGCGCCAGGACCTGCTGTGTGAGGTGGGCCACTCCCTGCCCCCATCTCCAGATTCCAGCCCATCTGTCGAATGATCACAGTCTATGACCCAGAGGGAGAGGAAAGCCAAGTGGAGCAGAGGGGGCACTGAATTCAAGCCAGCCCAGCTCCGAAATGTTGGTGGCAGGGGGTCTGCCATGCATGGACACCTGCCTCCCAGACCCCTCCAGTCTGACTTTGGCAGTTCCCTCCTGCCCACCACACAGACCCCCAGCCCTGCCTTGAGTGACCATCCAGGCCAACACTTGAGACTTTGGGCCAGCTCCAGCCCCTCATCCTTGCTGGGGCACAGCTCTCATACTCACCTGCCGAGTCCTCTCTCCACTTGCTGAGAAGGTTGGGGGAGGAGTTCCCATAACCCTTTTCACATACTGAGGCTACAGCCCATCGCTATACTGTCGTTGCCTGACTGTGGCTCTATCTGCCCATCGCACTGAGCCTCAAGATGGAAGACATTGTCGGAACCCCAGGCTTGATGCAGAGTAGACACTTAGTAAATGTCAAGTAGGTCAACCAATTCGTATGGCCTCCCAGGTGCCAAGCATGGAGAGCGAAGAGGAGTAGCAGAGAGAGACCCAGTCCTCAAAAGGGTGCAAACAAGACTGCAATGGAGGCCCTCTCAGCTCTGCCTCCCCTGTGCCTGCTTAGTTCTTGGAGTTTTTACAACGATGTCCTTGTAGGTTCTTCACTTACTCATTCAACAAATATCTGTTGGAAGGATCTTAAGTAAGGGCTTCACATGTGGCCTGCGGACATGTTTTATTTAGCTGAACAGTATTTTTAGTATATTTTAAAAATTTGAATTCCTTTGGGTGGGGCATGCACTCTCCCGTTCCCCATAGCATCTCACCCGCTTGCTGCCCACACACAAACACACACACAAACACACACACAAATACACACACACACACACACACACACACACACTGCTGTGTTATGCCCAACCACTCCTCGGATCTACTTTACCCACCTGGCCTCTGATTTACTGACTGCTCAAGAGATACAGTAGTGGATGAAATATATATCCCCATACTCGTGAGGCTTGGACTGGTAGGGGAAACGGGCATTAATGCAATAATCACATAAATATATAACAGTGCGCTCCAAGTACAAGGAACTCTAAGTGTGCATAATGTAGCAGGGACCAACCACTGTGCACGCAAGAAAGTCAGAGAAGGCTTTCCCAAGCAAGTGACGATACAACCTGCCATCAAAAGGATAAGTAGCTAATTAGGCAAAGGGGTTCCTGGGAGGAATACTCCAAGCAGAAGGAACTGCATGTTGAAGGTCTTCCGTCATATACGGGGCCTAGCACGTAGTGGGTCCCCAATTCACCCATGAATCCCGAGTCTCCGGATTGGAGCAGAGGCTGGAGCCAAGCCAAAGGGGCTGTCACGAATTCAGCACACTCCAGCCCTCCCGCACACTCGCCTTTCAACACGGGGCCCAGATCAGAAGGGCTGCATGCACCTCTCCCACGGTCTTGTCAAACACACCAAGAAGCCAGATGGCTTCCAGGCTTTCTGACCCTGCAAACCAGTCTCTAAAGCTGGAGTGGAGAAAGCTCAGGACAGAATCACCTGGGCTGTGCCCTTCACAAGGTTGTGTGTGGTCCTGGCAGAAAAGCAAGGACAACTCCTACTCCTGTGTGTCAGTGAAACCTGTTATGCAAATAAAGAGCCCTGCCAGGGACATCGTATGGAGCTGGCTTCTCTGAGTGATTGGCGGTGGGGGGCAGCATGTGGAGTGGCTTGGAATCCACAGTCTCTGGTTCCAGTCTTGGATCTGGCACAGGCTTTGTCTGTGATTGTACCAGCCAGAACAGGTTGCAAGTGACAGGAATCCAGTTGGAGGGTAATTCATCAGAGTAAATCATTAAAATGATGAACAACTGTTTCAATTAGAGTTCCTCAGTTGGAAGCAACAGAAATCGACTGACCATCTTAAGCAAAAAGTGAATTTATTGGAAGGTGTATTAGTTTCCAGTGGCTGCTGTAACTAATTACCACAAACTTAATGGCTTACCAGGGGTGGGAAACCTGCGGCCTCAAGGCCACATGTGACCCCCCCCCAGATCCCCAAGTGTGGCCCCTCAACTAAATCTAAACTTTGCAGAAAAAATCCCTTTATTAAAAGGTTCTTAACAGCAGAAATGTATTCTCTTAAAGTTCTGGAGACCAGAAATCCAAAATCAAGGTGTTGGCAGGGCCACAGTCCCTCTAGAAGGTCTCGGGGAGCGTCCCCTCCTTGCCTCTTCCAGATTCTGGGGGCTGCCAGCACTGCTTGGCCTTCTTGGCATGTGGCTGCTCACTCCAGTCTCTGCTTCTGGCATCACATCACCTCTGTGTGTGTCAATCTCCCAGTGCCTGTGTCTTATAAGCACACTTGTGAGGACATTTCCTAAGACCCATCTAATTTTGCACCAGCCAAACAGGGAACGTTAGTGGTGTTTTGGTAAGAGTCATCACCCTGCAAGTTCTGTGGTACAGGCACTAATCTCTGCCGCCTCCCCAGAGATGTTTCCACTGTTGATTTTTGTATTTTGAAACAGTTGTTCAAGTGGATTCTATTGGCCTTTTATTAATATATCATAATGGCCCTTACTCCATGCATCATGGAGCCAATGTGGGGATCTTTTCCAACTGTCACTCAGAAACTGGAGATAGAGGATAGCTTTCGAATCTCACTAGGACTCCAATGACATGGACAAAAGTCAAAACACTATTTTTCATGATAGGTTGGCCTACAGTGGTGCTCTCGAACCCAGGAAATTGGCATCAGCTCGAAGTCTTCATCCAGGGTTCCTTGAAAGGTTCAGGTATTTCCCTTTCTCCACCATCCAGTTACCCCGGTAAATGGCCACAGGACCTTTTAGAAGGCGAGGGAAATATTTGCATTACGCTCATGCAGTAGTATAGCAGTAGGCCTTCCTCAAGGGTGAGTAGCATCTGCTTCAATCAAAGGGACTCAGACCAATACACTAACTCAAGCCTAGTGTTGGGTGATGATCTGTAACTATCATGGTGGCTCAAGTCAGCACGTTTTTCTGCCAGAGCTAGAGAGTGTTTTTGGATTTTTTTTTGCTTTGTTTCTTATATTTTGTTGGTTATACAAATTAAGTAAGGCTTTGGTGGGTTGCCTTGAACTTTTTGGGGCCCTACATCCTGAGTTCTGGCCTCATCTGGAGCCTGCTGAATATTCTAATGCTCATTGTCACTTAATTTCTTGGGATTAAGTGCTAACACCTGGCCTCCCACACCTCTGCATACTTCTTCCCCTCTGAAATCAGGGAACGTATTTCAAATTGCAGCCCCTGCACCCGGCAGCATTCCTGATCTGGACTTTCCTCAAAGCAAGGATAAAGTGTGAGGGCCATAGTTAGAGGTATTTGTGGGAAGGAGGCCCAATATAGACCCAATCCAGTATCCTGTCTTCAGAAATCTTTAAATCCTTTCCCCTACATGATGCCAAGGGACTTGGGGCCTTTAAGTTCCATTTCACATGGGCCAGCATTTGGTTCAGGTTTGCACTGGCCAACTCATCAAATTGTTAGAGCCCAGCCAGCTCCTAGAGCAGCACAAAGAATGCCAAATCCCTGCTAAGTGACTTCATATCAAGAAGATCAGCCTGGTCCAAAACTATATTTCCCCTTTCTTGATCAAGTGCCACAAAAATACATTCCCACAAATATTCCCCAAATTTTGGATGGTGTCAATTAACACATTTCTGCAATTCCGCACGGGTCCAAGATTCTTTCCTACTCAGAGTCTACTTTTCACCCTCTAGGCCAGACTGATCCCTGCCTCCCAGCTAAGCAGCCTCGAGGGGTGGGGCGAGCAGGGAGTGTGAGGAAGGGTGTGAGCTGTTTGCACCGGTGTTTTAGAGAGCTTTGACGTTCTCCCACATCCTCTCATATGACCATTCCACTTGTCATAATCCCACACCCTATCAATGCCTAACTTCCTAAGAGTGAAGCAGGGCTGTGAATTCAACATCTTGCACAATTGGGTACCAACTCTAGTATTTGGAGAACCCAGCCCTACTGCAAATCATGAGATTCATTGGTCATAGAAATACTGTACATGTCATTCTGCACCCAAAGAGGAGGAGGGGGGATTGATATTGGTGCTTGCTTTGCTGACGCTCCCTTTACATTATTCTATGCAGCTGAAACAAAACATTCTATCACACAGCCTGGGCATTCCTCACTTCCTTAAAATCGAACTGTGACAGATGCTACCCCTTCTCTTAGAGCCTCATCCTCAGTGGTCTGTATGTGTTCTATACAGACACAATTTTTTCCTAACACTTTTGACCCATGGTTGGTCGAATCCATGGATGCAGCACCCATCTATATGTAGGGTAGACTGTATTTTCCTGATGGCTATAGCTGAGGACTATTTCATAAAGGCGTGATTTTGAAAAACATAAATCTGATCATGCCAGTTCCTTGCTTAAAACCCTCTGATGGCTCTCCATCAGCAGTGATACCCAAATCCCTTCCCACGGCCCACAAGGCCCTGCACACGCTTGCCTTCACTCACCTTGTTTGCACTGTTCCAGCCACGTGGCCACCCTTCAACAAGCAAACTTTTGTTCTTGCCGCCGGATCTTTCTTCTTGCCATTCCTTCAGCCCGGAACGCGTATCCTCCG